CACAGCCTGTAAGCTTGTCTCTTTGTTTTATAGCCAGATTCCATGAGGCAAAGTAAGGGTGTGGTTACAACGTTCTCTCCAGTTTCAAATCTACTCAATGACATGCACCTGAACTCTATCAAGCCCACATCACTCAAGCACGGGGGGCCACGTGTTCAGACCATAGGTTCAAGCTTACAACTATAGCCTCTGGCTATAATTGTGCTGGGAGGGCTCTGCCCTCCAAGCTGGGCTTTGCATGTGACTTTGCCATGAGAGGACTGTGCCCTCTCATTAGTCCAAGGCTTGAGCCTGTTTAAACACTGTAACCGCTCTCCACAAGAATTGATGCATAAAGTGAAATCAGAAGGATGATCAGGAGATTAGTAAAAGGGTTTTAGTGCTAAAACTAAGAAAAGTCCCTGGTAAGGGAATACAGTCATGACAGAGATATGTTCTGGAAAATGCATCCTTAGATGATTTTGCTGTGGGAACATCATAGAGTACACTCACACAAACCCAGATAGTAGCCCACTACATACCTAGGTTGTATGGTATAGAACCTTTGTATTATATGTGCAGTCGGTGTTGACTAAGGTGTTGTATAGATACTCTGTGTGACTATACTATGCATGAAAGCCTAGGAATGAGGACTTGGCCTGTTCCAGAAATGGAGAGAAGGCCAATGTCGCTGTAGTTTAAATGGACAAAGGGGAGATAAATGACCAGCTATGAGACTGTGGAGAAAAGCAGAGGCAAGCTCACCCACAAAGGTCTTAGTAATAAATAGGGAGTTTGGGCTTAATTTTAAGAGCAACGGGAAGCTGCTGAAGAGGTTCCAAAGAGTGGTTAGATATAAAATTCGTTTTAGTCACCTCTGAAAGAGATGATTAAATCAGAAAAGCACTTTGGAATTGTGAGTGTCCGAAAACAGTGCCGAATGATGAGGAGGTAGTGTCCTACAGTGTTAAATCTAAGAGGACGTTTAAATAAGCATTGTTGCCTTCAAAACACTGTAGGAGACCATTCATCTCATCAAATGGAAGCCATAGTGACAATAGTCTTTTATTCCAGATGAGCACAACTCGGGAGTTATCTGTCTCTTAAGCTTATCATAGAAATAGTTATCCATGTCAGAAAAAAAATTCAAAGGCAAAATTTGACTTTGTTGAATTCCATTCAAGTACAAATTTAAAAGTGCTGACCATATATTAACATCACAGGACCATCTCACAATTTCACTGTTGGAAGGGATGTTAAAGATCATTTGGTCTAACTTCTTCATTTTACAGATGAAGAGAGTATAGAATTGGTTTTTTTTTCCAAGATAATCAGAATGAAGCAATTTTTAAGATTTGGATTCTTACAGCATATCATAGTGGTAATTTAATTACTACAAATAATAATGCAAAAAACTAGTTTTCTGACCAGATATTTGATTTCCAATACTATTTCCAAGACTTCAAAATGGCCTCCATTGATCTGCATCCAGCTAAGCCAGTCCTGGATTCCTGACCTTCAGAAACTCCTTGAAATAAAAAGTTAGTTTCTTAAAGTGCTAGATTTGGGGATAATTTGTTATGCAGTAAGAGATAACACTCTACAACACCAGTGTATGCTTCTTTATTTATTTTATTTTTCATCTATAGTTGACATATAATATATTATACTAGTTTCAGGTATACAACATAGTGATTAGACATTGATGTAAATTACAAAGTGATCACCTCAAAATCAACATATCTTTTTCACAAACTTAAACTACAAACACTTACAAAAATATCTAAATATTAATTCTTTTCTAAACAATAAAATACATCTTTAACTTAAAAACACCACCACTGGTGTTCTTCCTTGAAAGAGGTGATTAAATGGTTTACAGAATGGGCAATGGGATATTTAACTGTTAATTTATAGCTCACCTATTCTAATTTAATCAGAGTTTTTGGCAACCAGACTTAGTTAAAATTGAGATGTGGTTGCAGAGAGTAATTGCCCATGGCTACATGTTCCCATTTCAATACAACTTAATTTCTTTCCTTGGTTTGAAATCTCAGTAGATACAAAAATGTGAATTTAAATTAAACAATCACTTTCTTCTTAGTCCTGAGTAGCCATAGTAGGATACAGAATAAGAAGGAAACAATAGACTACCAGCTAATGATACAGACATGTATAATAATCACTTTTCTAATTAAATAAAACCTCCAGATAAGGAGGAAAAGGTAGTTGAAATAGCCCTGACCCCTCTTTGAAGTTTCACCTTCCCTATATATCCTCAATCCAATAATTTATTCAGCATTTTATTAAAAAAATATTGATTGAACCCTTTGTATAGACTAGACATAGGGATACAATGATGAACTGGATAGGCAAAGCTCTACCCTCATACTTTTATCTGGGAGTGAAAAAAAGCAATGAAGCAATGACAATGTTGTGGTGATTATTGGGGAAGGAAATACCTACCAGGATACCTATCCCACCCAGTATGTTGGTGGTGAGGGCTATGGGGGAGAGGGATGAGAGAGTGTGGGAAAACACTTCGTTAAGGTTTCATTTTGGGCAAAAAGAACTCCTCCCTATACAAAGGCCTGAAGGCAAGGAGATTCAAGATACAGTTAGAAACTCAGAAGTTCAGCTTGGCAGGAAGGAGTGGTAAGAGTCCCAGGGAGTGCGCTACACCTTTAAGTCACAACCCAAGCAGGGGCACAATTCCTTTCGGTGGGGGTTCCCTTTAACAGAGCAGGTGTAGGGGAAAAAGAAAAACTAAGAAAAATGTTTAGGCCCTGACCTTCTGCATCCTGTCTGAGAACGCCTATTTATAATCCAGGTCCAAAAAGCTAATACCGTTTGGCAAGCAGTAGGCACATAGTGGCAAGAAATCTGAAGTTAGAATGGCCTGCTTTGAATCCTAGCTTGAAAACAGTAATACCAACCTCACTCGGGTCGTGTCAAAATGAAGCAAAAATATCAAATGAAGCAAAAATATCAAATCCTGGGTTCCAACATGGATCCGAGTCTTCACACAGGAGTGGGGCATTAGCTTTTTACATTACCCAGAAAATTCAACGTGTTATTAGTCAAATATTTGATTGTTTTTCACGAAAAAAAAAAAAAAAGATCTTATTAAAGTCTCCATTATCTTATACTAAAAGCAACTGGTTTTTAACAAGTGGTTGATAACATTGTTGAGCCAATCATTTGTGAAAGACACCTGATAGCCCTCCTCCAGGTGCTGTGAATGTTGGGCTTTTGTGAAATCCTCTGTGCAGTTATTCAGCCAACCAAGATTATATCCAATTATACTGTCATCCATTCTACAGTTGCCCGTGTTGTGCATGTGGATCTCAAGTATTTTGCGGAAATTTGTAAATGCTGGCACTTACAGAACTCCCCAACAGGCTTAACCCAAACAATGAAACAGGGGAAGTTCGTTTGGTACTACTGATTAATTTATCTTGATGATTCAAATTCCGTACTTCATCCAGAAAGTTAAATAACCAGGGCTTACTTGTTTTCTTTGTTTGTTTTTAAATTATATTTTATTGATTTTCTACACAGAGGAAGGAAGAGGGATAGAGAGTTAGAAACATCTATGAGAGAGAAACATCGATCAGCTGCCTCCTGCTCACCCCCTACTGGAGATGTGCCCACATGTGCCAATGCTCTATCCACTGAGCCAAACCGGTTTGGAAAAAAGGATCAACTTTTACCATCCTAAAACGTAGAGTAATTAAACATTCCGTTCAATTTAAAATTAGGCAGTTTCGGGGATGTTACCTTAATTAGGTCATTACATACACTTGGCAATATACGGTAGTAAAGTGATTGACATCTTTCCTGGGAGCTACAGACACAAAAACCTATTTCTCCAGGGTGAGTCATGTTGGGCAGGCATTTTTCAGTCTCCTTTCCTGTATAATTCATGTCTCAGGCAGAAAAGGAGTTTGGAAAAAAAAACAAACACACACACACACAAAAAAAAAATCAAGGAAACTCCCATCACGTGGCAGAAATCTGGTCCTGCGAACAGAAACTTACCAGCCCATGAACAAGGCTGACCTGATAGTGCTGACTGCCTTTCTAGTCATTGGCTCAAAAGAAAGCTCAAGCAATACCCATTTCCCAAGGGAGCCCCTCCACGCTGGTGACAGTCACACATCCCACCTGGGCCTTTTGGTTGCAAATCCACCTCCTTAAGGAGCCGTGTGAGGAGGGGGAAAAGCAAGATCAATAAGGGGGGGAGAGAAAAGAAAGAAAAAAACCATCCTCCCAGCTATAAATCAGCCACGTGGAGCTGCTGCGGCAGAGGCGGCAGCCCCGACTTCCTGGTTCGCTTCCTGCAAAGCGGGCGGCAGGGGGCTCGGGCGGCGGGCGGCGGGGGAGGGAGGGGCGGCCCGGCGGCCCCGGGACCCGGGAGGGGGCGGCGGGGGCGGGATCCCGCTAGGGCGCGGGCGTTCGGGGAGCCAGGGGCGCATCCTTTCCCTAAAAGTTTGGGGATCTGGGAGCTTTAAAAGAGCTGAGCTTGTGGGGCGAAGGCTTAAAAGCTAAGGGCCAAGCATAGACCTGGGGAAAGTCTAAGTTAGTTACAAGGTAACGGGGGACAGAGAAGGGAGAGATTCGTGGGGCCAGCGGGGCAGAGAGGAGGGGGACTGCGGGTCTGGAAGGGGGCAGGTAGGCGGAGAGGCAGCGCAGGGAGCGGGGCGCACGGGCTGGTCGGTCGGTTGGAGCTCCGCGGAGGCCGCGGGCGGAGGGGGAGCACCGCGGCCGCGGAGCAGGGAGCGCGGGGAGCGCGGGGCGCGGAGCCGCGGGGCGGGGGCGGAGGGCAGGGCCGGGGCCGGGGCGGCCGAGGGGAGTTCCGGATCGGGAGCTCTGGGAAGGGCGGGCGGCGGAGAGGCGGCCGGGGCGGGGGAGGGAGGAGGCGAGGAGCCGGAGGAGGGGGAAGGAGGGAGGGAGGGGAGAGCGGCGGCGGCGGCGGCGGCGGCTGCGCCCGGCTGTGTGTCTCCAGCCGCCGGAGGAAGATGAGGCTGAAGATCGGGTTCATCTTACGCAGTTTGCTGCTGGTGGGGAGCTTCCTGGGGCTGGTGGTCCTCTGGTCCTCCCTGTCCCCGCGCCTGGACGACCCGAGCCCGCTGAGCAGGATGAGGGTGAGTGACCCGCCCGCCCCCTCCGGCGGCGGCGACCGGCAACTTGTTTTGTTGGCGCGCGAGTGGCGGGAGCGGAGCGGGAGCGGGCGCGGGCGCGGGCGCGGCGGGGGCTCCGCAGGTGGCGCGGGCGATCGCGGCCGCCGAGCCCCACGCACTGGGTCCCCGCCGCCCCGGTCCCCGCAGCCGCCGCCGGCCCGCCCCCTCGCCGCCCCTTCCTCCCGCGCTTCCCCGCCCCGAGCACCCTGCGCTGCGGCGGCGGCTCCCGCGGCTCCGGCGCCCGTGCTGCTCGCCGGGACCTCGGGGCAGAGCGGGTCCCGGGGGGCGGGGGGCGCGGCGGCCCAGTCCCCGGTCCTCGGGGTGGGACCGCGGCTGCCGCGGCGGGATGCGGGGCTGGTCCAGGCTGCGGCCTGTGGCGCGCGGGCCTGGAGGAGGCGAGATGCCGCCGCTGCCATCGCCGCCGGCCCGGCCCAGGCCCCTCGGTCCAGCCCTCCCTCCGCCCGCCGGCCCGGGGCGCTGCGGCCGGGGCTCCCCCAGCCCAGCCCGCCCGCCGCCGGGGGCGGAGGGGGCGGCGGGAGGGAGATGGCGCTCCGCCTCCGGCTCTTACGGGCAGCGCCGCCGCCCCCGCCTCTCGGGGGTCGGGGGCCGGGGCTGGGTCCGGGGTGCGATGGGCGCGAGGCCTCGCCCTGCACCGGCCTTGCCTCCCGCTTCCCTGGCGACGGGAGGGGCGGTTGGCCGGATGGGGGGAGAGGCTGCCCCTCCCGCTCTGGGACCGGGTTTCTTTCCCCCCCCCCCCGCCGCCCCGCGACACCCCCCTTTGGGGAAGCCCTTCTCCCGGGGCGACGTCGCTGTTCCTCTCCCCGGGCTGCGAGCGGACCGCCCGGCCGGGAAACTAACTTGTGCCGGCGCCCCGCTCGCTCAGCCCCGCGCTGTGCCCGCCGCCCGCGGAGCCAGTGTCCGCCCGGAGCCTCCCCGCCCCAAAGGCTTTGGTCGGAACGGGACTGGCCGAGCCGCGATGGGGCCGCGGTCAATGCCGCTTCGTCTCCCGGCTGGCTGTGGCTGGGTCACCGCAGGTTGGCAGCTGCCCGGCCTCGCCCTCCTGCCTGACATCCTCTCCTCTCCCTCCCTCCTGACCCCGGGCCCTGGGGTGTCCCCGACCCTGGAGTGTTCCCCGGAGCAGCTGCCCTGGGGTGTCCGGGGGAGCGTGGGAAGTATGGGGCCACCGAGTGGCCAGGGGCCTCTGGAAGAGAGAGCTGTGCTCCGTTGTCAAGTGGCTTTTTTTTTTTTTTTTTTTTTTTTTCAAATATTGTCTGCGTTGCATCAGTGTGATCTCCTTTATTAACTTTGCTTCTTCCGGGAAAGTTAGCATCAGGGAGTGGAGCGAGAAGGCATTTTTTTTTTTTTTTTCATGAATAAGAATCTTAGGAGGAGATTTCCCTATTAAGTGCCTGCCTATATGATGACGGGGTTTACTCTTAGGTTTTATTATCTGAAGCTTTTTACGGTAGTGGAATCTCTTTTAAAATATCGGTGGTGGGTTCCTATCCAAGCCACCTACTTTATTTTTTTTTTACATTTTTTATTAAATAATTATCTGTGTACATATTTTAACATTGTCCCCTCTCCCATACATACCCTCCCTCCCCAGAGTTTTGTGTCCATTGGTTGTACTTATATGCATGTATACAAGTCCTTCGGTTGATCCACTATCTCCCCCAGATCTCCCTACCCTCCCTGCTGTAATTTGACAATCTGCTTGTTGCTTTACTGTCTCTATATCTATCTTTTGGTTCATCAGTTTATAATGTTCTTTATTATCCATAAATGAGTGAGGTCATGTGGCCAAGCCACCTACTTTAAAGTTAATGGGGGGAGGAGGGGCACAAACAAATTTTGCTTTTGTGGTTTTAAGCCTGGCAGCTCTCAAGGACTGGTGCCAGCCTTTTTATGACTTTACTTTCAAAATGACTCACATATATAATACAGTTGTTTGAGAGTATTTGTTTTAAGTTAAATGGCCTTTTACAACGAGCTAGAAATGTTAAAACCCCATTTTCCGGGAGAGAAATTAAGGAGAACTGACAAAACTAGCCATGTTCAAAATGCCCCCCAGTTCAGATGGCAAGTCTCGACCAGTGGTGGAGCATCAGCACCAATGCCCACCCCCTAACACATTTTATTTGTGCTGACATGTAAGTACCGAGTCACTGTGCCCATTTAATAGCTCTTGGAGGTGGCGATATATTGATTTCTGTCAAAATTACAGTCTTGTGTCGCATAATGACATTTCGGTCAACTAGGGACTGCATATACGATGGTAGTCCCATAAAATTATAATGGAGCTGAAAAATTCCTTTCAGCTAGTGACATGGTAGCCATGGTGATGTCACAGTGCAACAAGGCTAGTCCTGGGATTGTGATGCTGGCATAAAAAAACCTGTGCTGCCGATTGTGTAAAAGTGTAGCGCATACAATTACTGTACGCAATACTAATAATGATAATGACTGTTGTTAGTTTATCTATTACTGTACTTTTATCAGTATTTTAAGAGTGTGCTCTTTCTACTTATACAAAAATAAAACTTTGCTCTAAAACAGCCTGAGCCCTAGCTGGTTTGGCCCATTGGGTAGAGTGTCGGCCCATGGACTGAAGGATCCTGGGATTGATACCGGTCCAGGGCACATGCCCATGTTGCTGGCTCAATCCGCAGTAGGGGACAACTGATCCATGATTCTCTCTCATCATTGATGTTTCTATCTCTCCCTCTCCCTTCCTCTCTAAAATCAATAATACACACACACACACACACACACACAACATATAATGTGTGTATACAGCCTTATACATGTCCCATTTACCATGTCTCTTGATTGCATCATTTTCTCTTGGGCATGATTTAACCTTATGTTGTTTTGTTCAGTAACATGCTATACAGGCCTGTAGCCTAGGAGCAGCAGGTTATACCATATGTAGTCGGCTACACCATCTAGGTTTGTGTAAGCGCACTCTGACATTTGCACAATGGCAAAATCTTGTAAGGACACATTTCTCAGAAGGTATCCTCATTCATCATTAATTTGTCAGTGGATCCAATGTAATTTTGTTTGCCAAAGACAGAAGCTTGCTTTAAGACTTCAAACATAATTAACATGCTTATGGATCAGAAAAGCCAAACCCTTTTATTAACTTTGCAGGCAAACAGTAAGGTATAGAATACAGATTATAAGTCATAAGAGCATAAATAAAAGAACTATTGTCTCCCATTAATGAAAACCAAACTAAGCCCTGGCCAATGTGGCTCAGTTGGTTGGAGCATCGTCCAGTACACCAGGAGGTGGCAGGTCTGATTCTTGGTCAGGGCGCACACCCAGGTTGAGGTTTTGATCCCCAGGGGCGTCTTCAGGAGGCAACTAATTAATGTTTCTCTTTCTATTCCCTCTCTCTAAAAATCAATTTAAAAAACTAAGAGTTTCTGAGATAAACCATCAAAAAAAAATCTCCATAATTTATGGAAGATTCTGCCCCAGTTTCCCTTACCCTCTGGTTCTTTTACTTTGATTATAATGGTAGATTCCTCCACCCACTGCAAGACACCTGCCTCTCCTTTAATGCTGACCCACATATGGACGCTTTTGGATGTCTATAAATGGCCTGAGATAGGCTGCAGAAAGCCAGTTTATCAAACAAAAGTTCTGCCTCGCTTCCAGCAAACTTATACTCATGGTTCTGCCCTGTGCCACTTGTCTTGTACTTGCAGTGTTCCAGGTACTAACCTTAAATCCTGCAGTTTAGTCAAAAGAAGAAGAAGGAAAAAAAGGCACATTAGTCAAGGCTCCATAAATCAACCAATACAAATTGTGATACATGCTGTGCACTGTGAAGAAAAACAATGGCGGGGGGAGGAGGAAATAAGAAAATGAGGAGCTTGGTCATAAAAAGGCTTACCTGAAGACAGGGTTTTTGAGTTGAAATATGAAGATTTGAAAACATAGTTGGAGTGGGAGAAGACCCTGAGGTAGGAGGCAGCATGGCGACCTGGGGCACTGGAAGAAGATCTGTGTAGTTAGAACATGCAGAGCAAGAGGAGAGGTAGGCGAGGGTGCAAATTTAGGAGTAGGACTTGCACACCAGGCTAAGGATTAGGTCTTTAGGGCAGTGGGGAAGCCACTAAAGGGTTTTGAAGTAGCAGAGAGACAAGGACCAGCTTTGTGTTTTGAAAAGATTGCCTGCAGAAAGGATGAATTGGTTTGGAGCAAGAGTAGATAGTAGGCCTCCTGCTGGAGGTTTGTAACAGTTCAGGTGGGACAGGACTTTGCTTGGATTGGCAGGGTGACAGTGGACATGGAGAAAAGTAAATTGATTCAAGGGCTATTAAAGGTACAGAGGCGTCAGGATTAGGTGATTGGATGTGGGAGTGACGGAGAAGAAAGGTGTCAGGAGGCTTAGGATGATAGAATGTGTGTTTCATTACTGAAAGTTCAGAAGACAAATCTCACACATTCTTACGTCCTATTTTATGGTTATGGGAAAGCTTATATTTTTTTTAGGCCTTGTCCTCTAGATATTTTAAGGTCAGCATTGATTAATACCATCTGTTTAGCACTTGCAAAATACAAAAAGTTCCTTTCACTAAATAAATTATTATTACCTCCTAGACCATGAATCCCAGATTTATCCCTGAGTGAGTGTTGCAAGTTGAGTCATAAGCCTCTGAAAATAGAGGTTTGTAATGGAAATGTTGAAAGATCGTTAGTGGTGCTAATACAGCACACCCAGTACTGGTGCGAGCTGATGATTCTCTGTGCTGTTGCTACTTTAGTCAAACCATCACTGCCACTTGAGTTTAGAGTGTAAACAGTAGGACAAATCCAGGAACCATTCCCCAGGCAGAGGAGTTTTATGTGCTGGGCAAGTTAAGGCTGGTTGACATGAGTATCACCAGGATGAGTGAATGGATTACCCTGTCACATTCCACCTTATGAAAGCCATTTTAACTCAGTGA